CCCCCCCCCCCCCAATGAAAAAAATTATAATCTTTAGTTAATACGTTCTTACAGACAAGCCTTTTGTAAATCTGGAAATTTTGCAGTATTATTGAATTATAAAACAATCATGTCTCCGGCATTACCTCTATTACGTCTATTTTTAATCAAACAGTCGTGTTTGTACTGCTCTATGCAATTTTTTCATAAATTGTAAAATACATAGGCAGGTAATGAAAAAAGGAAACACGATTGATGAAAAACAAATTGTAGTTAGCATAGGAAATGGTTTGTGCAACATGGTTTGATATGGTTTTCTTTCACATTTTCCCCAATTTTAGTATCAACAGGCAGCATCACGGATGTGGATCGACGGGCATTGGTATGTACCACAGCCCCATACTACTCCCGGCGAATTAGCATGGTTTGTAGCTTGTTTTTGCATCTGTATCATAATAGAACTCCATTTATCGGAATGATTTCGGTTATATTGCATTTAAATATATCTCCTTCCTATATTAAATTTAACATTATTTTAATATGGATTATAATGTTTTAAAAAAAATTATTAATAATTTCGTAAGAACTGATAATTTCATAAAATATTATTAAATAAATTTTGATTTGTTGAAAGAAGAATAATTTCTTTCTAAAATTTTAATGGCAAAAAGATTTATCGAATAACTTTTTTTTTAATTATATATATTTAATTTGATTATTCTAATAAATGGAGTTTATGCAAATGTCATTTTATTTAACGTTCTAGCACGTCTATAATTGCAGATGTGTTGCATTAAGTGCACACATTCGTCTAGAGAAACAAGACAATATACAGTTCGTACGTTCGAAAAATTTATGATGTGTATATTCGTATTTATTTGTATTTATTTGTATGATTATATTTGATTTGCTACTTGTCCCTATTACGATAAGATATTGTGTATATAATATTGTATAATGAGTATGCATGCATGCTGTACATTTTGCTATTATTTTGAGTTTTGCATTTTTTTATCAACTGTATTTACTTTTAATTTGTTCTATGTTGCATATTCGATTTATCGTAAGAGTTCTTCATCTTTTAATTAAGTTAATTAATTAATCGAACTATACTTTTATATCCAATTTGCACTAATTAGCTTTATGAGCGAAATGTTATTTTGTCTTTTTCTTGTTTTAATATAATGTAATTTATTTTGCAGAAAATTTTAATTTTATAAAATGAAGATAATTGAAATTTTTTTTAGAGAGCTTTAAGTAAATTATATAATAACTTTCGAAGAGATAACAGGAAATTGATACCATAATATCAGCAATTTAATGCATTATTATGATTATATTACTATGAAATGGTTACTTTTTATGAAAACAGATTAT